AATCCGGACATGTACACACATCCGGACAGGGATCCGGACAGGCCGATCCGGACATGTCCGGATTAACCGGAAAATACCGGAACTCCGGACGTTCGGATGAAACCGGGAAATCCGGTTTCCGGTGTCCGGACTTGTCCGGTTCACTTGTCCGCCGCTGCCATGGCGAGGACTGAGCCCTCACGGGTCCCTAACAGACATGCAAGTATTCTCGGCTGTGGGCCCCAGCAAGCCTTGTGCCCGCCCTAAGTAAAGGCAGGCCTGAATATCCACAAGAGGCCTATTTTCGACATTTTCCATATGTGGGTACACAGACAGTTGCAGCACGCCAGTTGGTTGCAGGGAAACATGAGCCTCCAGGCTCTTTCCAGAAAACAAGGACTGCGCTGTACTGTTAAGCCCAGGGCCGGGTGGTTGCGCCCAGGGCACACGCAGTGACGCATGCCCAATGGGACAATGCGTAGGGAGCCAAGGATCCGCAATGTGATGAAAAGGACTGAAATGGACAATGCAAGGTCAGCGTAGCATCAACAAGCAATGTACATTCCAAATACATACAAGATGGCACAAAGTGGCGCAGTGGAAGACTTAAAAGAGAAGATCTGATCTGATCTGGACTGACCCGACATCCATCATACATCACACATGTGAGAAGGGAGGAGGGACCACAATCCCCGAAGAAAGGTCCCTCCTTCGTACACACACATGGGGAGATACCACGGATGAGAGATGGGGGAAAGGGACAAGACGAAGGAGAAGGAGGCGAGGGAGTAGACCATGATCGCAATAGCGAAGCCCCAAAAGTAGTCCCTTGCCGAGTGTCCAATCAATGTCTGTCCCAGAATGTCGAATCAGATCCTGGGCAATGTGCCCAACTGCATTCAGACTCGCTTTTCTTTCGCACTCACATGCATGCAAACAGGCACACAGCAAACTGGTGACAAGCGCCCACACAAAACTCAGAGATATGGTCCCGAAGAGACAGTCCAAATACAAGTTCACTTTCGATGGCTATGGCGACTCAGCGCCCAAACAACTCTCTGTTCGCATACCCCGGATCACCCTGGATATCCCACACGCGTCACTCTGCACTCACACACACACACACACGCTACACCCTAACTCTAGCTATGGCGGCTATGGCCGCTGCTACCCTATCGCTATGCTACACTCCTCTCTCGCCCACTTCAGCTACGGGCTCACTGCAGACCTCCTTGCACAAGTCGCTGTGGCAGCGCTTCCGCATGGCTCACGCAGGAATGAATGAATGGCTGCTTCACAGGTTAGTACTGGACTGAGAGAGAGAGAGAGTTCTTCTTCTTCCTCTTCTAAGTCCACCATCTCTTCTTCCCCTCTCGCTGCCTACTTCTCAGTATCTGTGGACTACGAGAGAGAGATATGACCTGAGACTTGACGACATTGGATACAGACTCGACATTTGGGATTCAGACATTTGGACGAGGGACTATTTGGGCCTGTGCCGAAGACTTGGTGTTGACGACATTCCCATCTTCCCCTCCTCTTCGTCTAACCCCCCTCTTCTTCGTCTGTGTATGTGTGGGGCTGGCGCARTCTTCCTGTGTGAAGCGCCAGACCCCTTTCACACCCTGGGACGATGATGATGATGATGTGTGTTCAGAGCTGCATTGCAACATTGATTGTTCGGATCACTGGTATNATTTGGACGAGGGACTATTTGGGCCTGTGCCGAAGACTTGGTGTTGACGACATTCCCATCTTCCCCTCCTCTTCGTCTAACCCCCCTCTTCTTCGTCTGTGTATGTGTGGGGCTGGCGCAGTCTTCCTGTGTGAAGCGCCAGACCCCTTTCACACCCTGGGACGATGATGATGATGATGTGTGTTCAGAGCTGCATTGCAACATTGATTGTTCGGATCACTGGTATCTAAGTCTTCCGCTGTGTTATCTTGTACTTCGTATTGAGAGGTCGGTTCTTGTTCTGGTCTGCACAGTTATGGTATGCAACAGTTTGGTATCGGAGCGGACCTCTCATTCAGAGGACCCGCTCAATCAAGTAGCAAGCTTGCTTGATCTATTGATCTCATTAGTAAATCAAGTAGGACTTCATCAAATCTCTGAATTTTTTTTTTCTTTCTTTCGCATATATCTGAAATTCGTGATAATAGCATTTCGTTTTATCTGAAATTTCTGATAATCGCATTTCATTTTTCCTGAAAATTTCCGATATTAGTATTTCGTTTTTACGTAACAAATATCTGAAAATTTCTGAAAATCGCATTTCGTTTTATCTGAAATTCCTGATAATAGCATTACGATCTACCTGGAAATTCCGATATTTGCATTTCGTTTTTACGCAACAAATATCCGAACTTTTCTGAAAGTACCATTCGTTTCTGATACTTTGCATACATAGCCGAAATTTCTGATATGAGCATTTCGTTTTCTGGGCCTATTAGGATAACGATAGAAGTGGTCACATTCTCGGAAACCGGATTCATTCTGTTCTGAAAATCGAATTTCCATTCTATCTCGCAAATTTTTGAAAACTGAAATCTTGCGGAGCCTATCAGCATGACATTTTAGGCATAGTAGGAGATTGTCATATTCGCAAGAACGGGATTTAGTCCTTTTCTGAAAATCGCATCTCTACTCTACTTCGCAAAAAAAAAATTTCAAGATTGCATTTGGTAAAAGCCAAAACTTTGCGGAATCTGGCCTAGATCTCGCTCATAGTACTTTGCTGACATACCTCACTCATAACAGATCGACAGATATACAAAAAAAAAAAAAAAAAGGAAGTAGTCCTCTTTTATTTTTTTTATTTTTTTTTCTATCTGTTGATTAGGGCCGGAGGAAAGTCTTGTTGGGTTGGTTACCTACCTGCGTTCCCTCCCACCCACCCTTTGCATGCATTTCCGGGTTGGTACAGTGCCACGTAAGCAGTGACACGTCAGCTACAGTGACACGTCAGCAGTGCCACGTCAGACACAGTGCCACGTAAGCAGTGACACGTCAGCAGTGCCACATCAGACACAGTGACACGTCAGACAGTGCCACGTAAGCAGTGCCACATCAGACACAGTGCCACGTCAGCAGTGCCACGTCAGCAACATGACGGGCCTGCAAGGCCAACTGGCCAATGAGCCCATTGCCGACTACAAAAAGCGTTTCCAGGCTCAGCTCGCTTTAATCGAGGCTGAGGAACAACGCCAGCTGGCAGCCAAGGCTGCCCAGCTACAGGCTGACGAAGCGGCAGAAGCAGAGAAGCTGCGGCTACAGGCCGAAGCAGACGCAAATGCCCAGGCTCGCCGCAAGGAAGCCCAGGATCTGCTGCAGCGGCATGAAGCCACAAGCATCGACAGACTTAAGTTCTGGCACTTTGAACCAAACGGCGACGAGGGAACACCGGAAGAGCAGCATAAGGAGTTTCTCTCCAAACTCATGACACTTCTGTTGTACACTTGCAACTACCAACAGTCCGAGTTGGAGAAACAGTACCGGGACCTGACGCAACAGCATCAGGAGTTGGCGACGCTCCACCGCACAGTGCAGGGCCACGAGGATGCAACTCGGGCACTCAATGCCCGATTGCTGGACCTGGAACAGGCTGTACCAGGACCAGCTGCTGGGGCTTCCAGCAGTGCACCCTCTAGCCGCCAACTGGAGGAACGCGTTAACCACGTAGTAGCAATGCTCGGCGACATCAGCACCTTCGCTGTGCCGACCACCATCAGCAGTCAGCTGCACACCTTGAAGACCGAGGTCCAGCAGCTGCAGTCGACGAACGCGGATGGCAATCCGAAGTTGTACAAGATGCCAACTTTCCAACTGGACAAGTTCGACGACTACACGCAGCAGGATCCGGTCCTCTGGTGGGAAGCATTCACGACACAGCTTCGCATTCTGCCTGTTGCCAAGCATGCGTACATCGGCGCCTTGTTCATGAACTCAAAGGGCGGATGCCAGACCTGGTTGACCCACCTGGCAACCTCCCACGGCGTCGACGTACCTGATTTGAAGGACAAGATCACATGGGAGGAACTGACAAGGCTGTGGAAGAAGCGGTTCATCGTCGACGACGCGCCGACACTCGCCATCAACCGTCTGTTCACCATGTCACAGGGCAACACTGCAACACGGGACTCGCTCACGGAGTGGCAGAAGATTGCGGTGGTGCCCAATCTGGACTTGCCATTCACACATCTCAGACGTGAGTTCTACAACAGATTCTGCGCTGCATTGAGCCAGGCCCTTGGTGATCGCGAGCAATACTCCACTTTCGCCGAGATTATCGACAAGGTGAGAGAGATCATCAAGACCAACAAGTCAGCTGCACACGAGAAATCAACATGGCAGCCAACCTATGTGGAGAAGGTACGAACTGGTCCGCGACCGTAGCACTTCGCTGCAGTCCAGCCGGACAGTGGAGATAACCCAGCAGCCACTCCAGCATCAGATGACGGAGATCAGGTGGCTGTTGTCGAGCCGCGAAGCAACGAGTCCCGCAACAATGGGAAGGCGAAACAAGCATCCCAGACAGGAAATGGACAGCTTCCATGGGTCAAGTTCGGCTTGACCGAGGCGGAGTACAAGGTCCGCGGCCGCTACGGCAGCTGCTATTGGTGCAACAACACCAAGCACAAGACCTCCCTGTGCCAGGATCAGGGCAAGGAGGATGTGCGACCCCGCCTCAGCTCGGGAAACCGAGCTCCGCGGAAGGTGAGGCGACTCCACCTTCTACTCCGCCAGATTCGGCTGCCTTGCTAGCGGCCTCCTGCACATCTGGGGAGAAAGCGAATGTCGCAAGTTCTCGTTACACTTACGAGGACTATGTTGTCCACTTGGTTCCACCGCTGGACCAACCGCTCCACGTGCAACAATCCATCGCATGCACGGTTTCATCACCATCGGCAACCGATTCGGCACCTTCGCCGCAATCTATCGCCGGGGATTCGACGTCATGGTCAAGACTTGATGAGCTCAACCCGTTGACGTTCACGGACTTCCAGTGGATGCCCGTTCCCTCGA